AGCATCTTGTTAGAAACATTTAGGAGAAAACTCATTGAAATCCGAGTTATAACAAAGAAGTTATGACTAATTGAAGTTTCGCGACAGAACCAGAATGACGTCGTATGATGTAAAAAGTGAGTTTACGATATACTACTTTTTTTCATTAGTGATCTAAATGAAAGTCTTAGTATTCGTAAAACTGAGAATTTCCTTAAAAAGAATGTCCAAATTAGACTTCGAATGAGGAAGTTATGATTTTTCTAAGTTTTGGTATAGCAGTATAGAACTAAAAACTCGAAATAAAGATCGAGTGATTCTTAGCGGACACGACCTAATTGAGCATCGAATGTCTCATTAATAGTAGTACAATGGTAAAAAGACTGATAAAAACGGACGTCGGATGAAGAAGTTATGAATTTTAATAGATTTTTCCTGTTCCGGACTGTTAAAAATATAACTTTAAAACTCAAGTCAAAATTAGCCGATGGAGTCTAAACGAAAGTTGCAGAGCATATTTTCACCTACGTGTGTATATAAAGAACGTCAAAAATGGAGCTCGTATTCGAAAGTTACGGAATTTTGAAGTTTATGGCAAAAATTACGAGGCTGGTCGGAGAAGTACGCCCAGCGTACTATGAAGACACGTATTAGCCACCAAGCGCCTTCCCATGATGATGCATATCCAAACTCATCCACGTAGGAGGTTTGGCTTCCAATTAGAAGACACGTCTCGTATGCCCAACATACCAAAGTTACGCTCAGCGTAGAACACCACCACATAGTACGCCCAGCGTACCGGAGATTTACGCCCAACGTATTGCGATCCCTCGACGACTATAAATAGAAAGTGATGTCTTCCGAGTTTAGGGTACAAATTTCACTCTTTCACACATTCTACACTCTCTCAATTTATCCTAGCACCCCCCCACCCCCACCCCCCTCCAAATCCTAGGAAACATTCCCGACACCCGAAGCAAGTCCCGACGCCCTGAAGACTCAAGAAAATAATATTTTCAACTTGAAACTTTGCCCACACAAGGTCCGGTTTTCAACAAAAATCCATGGTTTCGTCAAGGAAAGCCATATTTAGAGGCGAAGTGCTGCCCAAATTTTCATTTTTGTAAGTCCCAAGTCTAGGGGTGTTCGTTTGGATGGGATCGGTTCGATCCAATCCAATTAAGTAAATCCAAATTGATTTCGGTTTTCAAAATATGGATCCAAATAGTCCAAACTAAATTCAAATCCAATCCGATCCAACTACAATTCGGTTGGATCGGTTTTTATAATTCGGTTTTCAAAAACCATAACATTTTAAAAGAACATAGAATAATAATATGATCTAATTTTACAGAAGAAGCAAAAACAAATTATTTACTTGTGATTTAAAATTTATAAACCACTAAGAAGGCATGTTATAGTTTATTATTTAATAGATAAAAAACTTTTGAGAGAAAGTACATATTAATGTCTTTTATTAGGTAAAACTTTTTGAACTTATTAAAAAAAAAGTTATAAAATTAATAAATAATTATAAATATATTGAAAATAAATACATAATAAATTATTATTCGGTTTTTTTGGACTATTCGGTTCTTATTTTATAAACCAAAACCAATCCGAAATCCAAAATAATAATTCGGTTTATTTGAAAACCAATCCAAAATTTTGAATATCCGAACCAAATTGTCCAATTGGACAATTCGGTTTTATCCAAATAGTGAATAGCCCAAATCTATAGATCCAAACCAGTAGTCAATAAATTGCAAGCAATCAATCAGAGTGTAGAAGGAGTAGAATGAGAATTACATCAAGCATGCACACATCTATTACTCATAAATGTCAGGTACACCTTGAAAAACACACACACACACATACGTCAATATACTGACACACTGACACAACCCTTTTATACTACCTGCAGCAGCACACCAGTGTGCAGCCGCACATACGTGTATAGCCGCACACACGTATGTAGTTGCACACACGCAAACTTATCCAACATAGGCCACCACACCATACTCTATCAACCTACCAAGATCTATACAAAAGAATGCCTAGCCCAAACCACAAAAGTATAGCATATCAATTTGCCCCTTGGTTTGAGGCAAGAATAGACTTGGTTTTCATTCTCCGGGTTTCTTAAATAGCTTCAGATCAGATTTTCCCATGGATCGCATCCAAAGTTTCTCATTAATGATTTTGGCGACCATTCCACTAAATTCTTTGGCAGCAGCCTCCATGACATCTTTTTCAGAAAATGACTTGGTGACGAGACAGGGTACATATATCTCTTTCTCTAAATCTGAGAAGATCCTTAGCACTGATCAGCCTTAGAACTTGTTCTCTATCTTTGAATTTGATGGCAGCAGTGGCAGTTTCATCATCATATGCCCAGAATTCCATATTGTCAAGGTATAGCTTATGAAAATGTTAAGGGATAGGAGTTTCCTTTAGTTGTTTCGTTGCTGACCACAGAATAATCTTCATGGGCTTGCCTGATTCAGGATCAATAACATCCTCATCTCTTCTATACATGGCTTTTGCAGTTTTCATCTTTGTGAAGTTTTCCTTGACCTGCTTGTCAAGAAATCTTTCAAAATTTGTCATGCTGGGATCTTCTAAAGGATTATGAAATGGGGCTCTTGAGAGTTCGGCAAGATCAACTTTTGTCCACGAGTTGAAGTCATGAACGCTCTTGTAGTACTCAGGAACTCCAGAGTTCCTTTTTACAACCCACATGTTCGACTCGGGATCAAAAGCCCACATTTTGATCCTGGATCTATCTCCATACTCGTCACCAAACTTTCTCTTCTTGAGATCCGTCACAGTCAACACAGGATCTTTAGCTTTACGATTTTCATTTGAGTTTTTCATGAAAAGTAATCTTTCGCTTTTGCTGGCAGTGACGGTCCTTTTCCCTTGGTTGATCGTGATACGGGATCTGCTATTTTCAGGTTCTTTATCAACACAATGAACAATGGTAGTTGTCCTTGGAGGAGGTGGATCAACTGGCAAGTGGGAGCCATGAGGCTGCTGAAACAGAGCTTTGACTTTGTCTCCAAAGGTGTCATATAAGATGTTCTTCAACCCAAAGTAGAAGGCGGTTAAAGAACCAAGATTTGTTTGCAGATCTGTGATATGTTTAATCTTCAGTTCATCTCTTTCTCGAAGCTTAGTGATATAGGAATCATGTTGCTCAAGAAGAATGTTCTTCTCAATGACTTCTTGCCTTAGGATTCCAATCGCTTCTCGAAGATTAGACACTAAGGTCCTATCATCCCTTGAATGCTCTTCCTCAAAAGATATGCCTTTTCCTCAGGAAGGAGAATTTGAAATGTTCTGAGTCAAATGCTTAGCAAGCTTGATAGAGGCTTCATCAAGCGAGGGCCTTGTGGGGGTATATTCACGAATGGAAGACGATCCGCCTACTTCATATACCGTGGTTGGACCTTCTTCAGTTTGAAGTGGCGGTGTAAAGACATATGTGGTGGTGACAATTGATGAAACCGGTGGTGCTTGACTTTGAATAAACACTCCCTACCCTAGGCAAGGCAAGGAGGTTTGTGGCTGTGTCATTTCACTGAGAGATGGAAAAGAAGTAGAGACATTGGTATCAAGGGGAGGAATCCCTGATGCCACATCTCAAAAGGCTATTATTTCATATAAAGGTGAAATTTAGGATAAACTCAAATTTTAGTATCATTTTATTCTTATTTTTATTTTTATTTTTATTTTTATTTTATTTCATTTTTATTTTTATTTTTATTTTATTTTTAGGATTGGTAATTCTTAGAAAATATTTTATTTTATTTTTTATTTTGTAATTAATCCTCAAAAAGTTTTATTCTTAAATATATTTTAGTCTTGGCCTTTTACTTTTAAGGAATGCTAAATGGCACCCCCAATTTTTAAAAAGGTATAAAAGGGGTGTGCGGTCAAAACAAAGTTTACTTTTTCATCCTCCGACCGCACACTGCCCCCTCCTCTCTCTCTCTCTCTCTCTCTCTCTCTCTCTCTCTCTCTCTTACCAAAATCCTTAACAACTCTCTCATTTTCATGAAATCGAAGCCACATAACAGTAAGTACCATGAAATCGACTCCCGTAATGCAATTTTAAGCAAAAACGACCTTGAATCGATCGTAAATTGAAGGTTTCGGTATCGTCTGTGCGTATGCCGCTGCATACGCCATGTGTGGCTAAACGGTGTGCAGTTGGACCATTTGCGGATGTACACCACCATGTGAGGCTAATCCATGTTCGGTTGCACACCCCACATGTGCAGCTACACCCGTGTACGGCTAGAATTGCACAGTTGAAACCCATTTATAGTTGTACACCATGTGCGGCTGTCATGACATATATTTTTTTTCTCTAATGTTATGCTTGTGTTTTTCAGATTAACATGGGAGATCTTGAGTTTGCAAAGGTGCACAATTCAGCCATTTTTCTAGAAGATCCTCCGGCTGCCCACAATGATCTCAAATTCATCATTGATGGTCTAAGAAAATGTTGCCTGATTTCTGCTTTCACGACTGGTCTGGTGATCTATCAAAGCATGATCAAGGAATTTTGGAGAAGCACAATTGTTAAGAGAGATGACAAAGAAGATAAATATCTTGAGGCAACTATACAAGGCAAGAAAATCCTGATCACAGAACATGTCATTCGAGAATCGCTGCACATCAATGACAAGCCTAAATTCTCCATGGAAATTGATCTGGAACAAACCCAAGAAGTCCTGGACCATATGGGTTATGAAGGATCATTTCCTCTACCATAAAGAAATTACTACCTCCTTGCTGGAAGTATTTAACTCGTGTATTTGTGAGCTGTATTTTCCGAAGGAGATCAAGTCCCAACAAGATTTCTCTCTTCAACACAGGAGCAATTGTAGCCTTGGCGTCAGGGATTGAATTTAATTTTTCAAAATTTATTTTGCGTGAATTGATTTTCAATATTGAGGGAAACAAGAGGGAGAAGTTATTGATGTACCCGAGGTTTCTTCAGATCATCTTTAATGTCATGCATCCTGAGATCGAAAGAGGAAATGAAACACTGGATCGCAAGTTTGTCGGTCCAAGTGCTTTTGGCTTAATGAAACAGAATAGAGCTGGAAAATTTGCGTTCGAAGGGAAATTTCCTTTGATAAAATTTGGAATATTTGCGGATGATAATGATTAATCGGAATCAGACAATCTTTCTAATCCCGCAGAAACTGAGGATGTTGTGATTTCAATTTTAGAGCCTGAGAATGAAGAAGTTCATGTTTCACCTGCAGCAACTGTGGCTAAGGAACACGACCGCCTACATGATGTAGATGTTAAGAAAAAAATTGATCGAGAGGGAGGTGATGAGGCATTCAATGGAGATGATTCTTGCCTAAAAGATTTTGATTTTACTGGTATCATCAGTGACGACATTTCTTCAGGCCTTGATCTCAATCTAGATGATGATGATGATTTTGGTCCTTTGTCGGGATTCGTTAACAGGCACTTTAAAAGGGTCGATGAAGTTGCTCAAGCAGCAACTAAGACCGGGGATACACTCACATGACTGAATTGATGGTGCGGAATCCCAATCAGTTGGATGATGTCAAATCAATATAGAAGAGAAGGAGAAGAAGAATAATAAGAATCTTGATTGTATTGATGATATGAATGAAGTTCCTTACAATAGATTCTCTCACTCTTCTTCTATCTAGTTTCTCTCTCCTAAAACACCTTGAGTTTCACACACTTAAGCTCCTTTTGCCATACACTCACATGCACTCCTCACCCTATATATATGAGATAAGGGCCACCAGCCGCACACCCTGTGTACACCCGCACACGCCTATAAAATTATAGAAAAATACATTTTCTAGAAAAGTAAAGTATAAACCAAATTTATAGACCCAACAATCTCCCCCTTGGTTTATAGCTTTCTTTTCTAAATGACCCAACATGCTCCCCCTAAAAAGTAGATGGATTTTCTTGTCAATCTTCATTTGGAGCTTGAATTCATCTTTTATCTTCGATATATTCACAACTTCAAGATGAACATATGAATCTTCAATGGATGACTTCATCTCGAGCGGTTGGGATTTTCTTCAAAATTTGACATTGAATGCACATTGGGTGAGGAGACTTGATGTACTGATTCTTGAAAGATAATGCTTTCAGGTTGAGAGTCTTCAGAGAGAATCAACAGAAAGAGCGAATCTTCTGGATCACATCAGCATGTACATAGATAGAAGCAAATTGATTGAGGAGGATTCAATGCAATCTATCACATAATCTTCAAGTACAACTTCACCATGCTTCTGGGGTTGACAGATTAAATGTTAAAAGAATAACCTTCATTTCTTGTTCCTTATAATGAGAATTCTTCGATGATCACGGATGAAGCCTTAGCTCAGGAAATCTCGATACAGTCTCCACGAGTCTCATCTAAATCTGAATTCATTTTTCAAGACAAAACAAAACTAAAATGTAAAAACAAAACTAAAAGCAAAGTTAGCACACAATGTATTTTTTTTGTTTGAAAAAACTAAAAACAAAGTTAGCACACAATTTTTTTTGATTTTTTTTAAATTTTTGTTTAATTTTTGAATTTTCTAATTTTTGTTTGATTTTTTAATTTTTGTTTGATTTTTTTTTTAATTCTCCCTTTAAATTTGTGTATAGAGGAAAACTAGGGGAAAATTTAACAAAAACAAAAATATTTGGGAACAAAGTTGTTAGACAGCCTTAATCCGTTTATCGGTGCCTGCCCTTTGATGAATAGATCTGGCCAATCGTCCATATTGTAGTCCACTTAAGCACGAAAAATTGTAACAAATTTTGGACATGCTATAAGTGACAAGACAATTTGATCCTATATTCCTAGATAAACTTCCTAAGGACCATTCAACTAACCACGACCAAGGATAGTGTTGTCCACCTAAATTGAGCAGCGAGATCTACAGACAACCTATTAACTGTTCAATTTTAGTTGTACTAGAACATGTTTCTCGCTTCCTAATATACCCTAATAAACAGGGACTTCCACAATACTCCTTACTTTAGATGTGCAGACAATTATTATGGGAGAAGACATATTTAGAATGCCTATGCTATACACCCAGGTTGGATCTCTTCCAATCACGCAGAGGGTGAAACATATGACTAACTAGAATTTAGTGGGATTAAGAAGTAGAATGGTGCATATGTTGTGTACCAGGTTGTATTGTTAATCGTGGAAAGGAGACAACATATGGCTAATAGACAGAAAGAATTGCATTGATAGAAGATGCAGAGAGACAGAGTTGTATATGTTGTAGTCCAGGTCGGATGTATTTCAATCACGCAGAGGAGGTAACATATGACTAATAGAAAGAAAGAAAGAACATAACTTTCTACAGACCTAATTTATCAGAATTCCCCAATCGCCCCGTCAATATCGTAATTAAGGACAGAGTTCGTACATCAAGGAAAAGTTAAACCACAATTCTAGATACGGGTTCCTTTAATGTGACTGGTGGATTCTCATGTATATCTCCCTGCTTAACCTATCCAAGTGTCGTATTATTAGCATAAATGGATCTATCTAGGTCAATATTTGTCAAGTCATTTGATTTCTTAAGTTCATCTTTGCCTAGTCAAGTCCATTAAATCTTTTGTGCCTACCAACGCATCGAACACAGAGCCTAGACAATTCAGCTTTGGTACTTTACACAGACTCAGATTACCAATTATCACTTGTTGATATCACTTCCCAATAATATCTACTAACGAAAAACTATTAAGAAAATGAAAAATTGTCTTTAAAAAGAATCAGAGTAAGATAAACTCAGGAGTATAGAGAAAAAAACGCAAACCATAGTTCACTGATTGAATTTGCATCCAAAAGGTCTGAGAACAACACGCATAATCTCATAACAGATCCAAAAATTCTTCATGTCATTAAGCACTAACCCTATTTTTGATCTCTTCCTTTCCTCCTTTCACGCAAAAGGACACATACTCTCAAACAAAGGTCTGAATGTTATATAGTTGAGAGACGCCCCCTATCATGTTCCTAGAACAACCACTACCAACAAACCGAAGTCTGATGATATGCCTCCATAGCTGCTCTGACACAGAGCTGGATTAGTTGGTCTTTGGAACCCAATCCATTTTGAAAGTGGGTCGACCTTTGTCATCTTTGCACGGTACTCTCTCCCATGACATATCCTGCTTATCACAAACAAAAGATGTAGAAATATTAGAAGCATTATGAGATTTGGGAGAGTAAGACTTTGGAACCCATTTGTAGTTGGGTTTAACCCATTTCTTTTTCAATCTAATGGGTAGCTCAATACTTGCTTTTGATCTTGATGTTGGCCATTGAGATGACTTTTACCTAACCTGTCTTTGTTTCACTGGAGCATCTTTGGAATGGGAATCTTTTCCGACAATCCATTCTTGCCCTTGGGATTCGTATTGTTGGCCTTATAGGTTTGATTCTTGGCCTTCTGCGCGTTCCAATCACCACTGCACGATTGTTACATCGAATGATTTCTTTTGTACAATCTCCCACTGTGCGCATTCTGCTAGCCTTCTGCGTAGTAGGGAACATATGCACGATTTGGACAGTTTCTGGCAATGTGACTAGGTGTTCCACAGTCGAAACATGTGTTATTCTTCACTGGGATGTTGTTTCTTCTTGCCTCCGGTGGCGTGTCTTTGCCTTGTCTCTTTCTTTTCCCCACGCACTGTTGCAACAGGCCATCAGTTTCGCTTGTTTTGGTGGCATGTATTTCTCAACAGCTGATTTGTTAGGAATAAATGAGTTAGAAGCAATATATTCCGAGTTCAAGGGGTCATTGGATTGTTCAATAGTGTTCTCCTTGTTCTCATCTTCCGCTACTTTACCTGCACAGGAAGCAGAAACATCAGTATTCTTCACCTCAACACCCTCAGTTGGCCCTGATTGTTCAGTCTTAACTGATGCTGGAGCTTGTTCAGGGAGTGATCCATACTTAAGGTGTGTTTCATTTTTAATTTCTTCCTCATTTGTCTAAAGGGGTGGGTTATAGTTGTCACTGAAAGGAGGTGGCACATTGTGATATTCTAAACCCTTGTTTTGTTTATCTTTGAATTTTAATTGCTTCTCAATCATCGAGGCAACTACCTCACTTGACACATCATATTTTCTAAAATTAAAATCTGCATTTTCAAATTTGTTTTACAGTGTTTCAAGCTCGGCAGTCACAGAAGCAAGTTGTCTTTTAATATAGTCATAATTTTCACATTTATTGCAAAATTCCTCTTGATCTTTTCTAAAATTCTTAGTTTTCGCCTCTAGTTGTGCTTTTAAGGGATTTTGGCCTTTCCTTAGAGTATAGCCTACATATATAAAGTCCTTATTTTCCCTTTTTAGCAAATCAATTTCTTCGTGATGAAATTTAATCGTAGCTGTGACAACCCTAAATTTTCATTCGGTCAAACCCTAAAAGTCAACCACTTCATATCATAAATTAATATCATTATTTCTTATTTTAAGAAATATAAAGTTCGTTTGATTATTTTAATATTATTTTTAAATGAACGGGTGAAAGAAAGTGTCATCTCGGGTTTTAAAATTTAAAAACCGCAAACACCTCGCGTCATAGAAACTCTCGGCCAAACTATTTCGTTTGAATCGAAAAATCATACCAAAATCTGAAAACTCATGCTTATCCATTAGTTTACTCCTTAAGTCTAGTCAATATGAGTTTACTCCCCATTTATCCAAAAGACTAAACTCCCAAAAGAGTAAACTCAAGAAAATCTCTCAAGTAGCAAACTAGAAACAATTCAAGATCTTCAAACTTGTAAGTGTTCTATCCATTCCAAGTTGATTAAGCACTTAATCTAGTGTTTGTGCATCTATTCATCCATTCACTTTTGTGTTTTTTATTAGATTTCCAAAAACACGAAGAACACGAAGAACACACACTAAGTGTTCTTGGACTTTTAGCATACTTCAAGCTTCCTTATTGTAATTACTTCACTCCTTGAGTCTTATTGAGATGGTATTACAAGTTAGCATCAAGAAATTATGCCAAGAACTCATGGAACAAGGTGTTCACGGTCCAAGAAGGTTCTTGGGCCGTAAACACCATAAATGACACCAAAGTGTGTCTAAACCTCAAAACTAAGCCCTAGTTGATGTTTAAACCTTCCTTGACATGTTTAAACCCTTCCTTATTGTGTTTAAGCCTACAAAAACAACAAAGACCATCAAAGATAGGTGTTTACAGTTTGGGGATCTCCCAAAACCGTAAACACCCTAAAGTGGGTTTAAGTTGGTCAATTTTCTTCCTTAGGCTTAGAAACTAGCACATACTTTTACCTACTTGTGGTAGGGACTACAAAACATGGCTATACACTTCTCCATAAGGGTTTACAGTAGTGAACCCAAAGGAAAATGCCATTAGGCCGTAAACTCCTCAAAGGAGGTGTTTTGTTGCCCTAGTCCCTTCCAAAGGCCAAACCACTTAGTAGAATTACTTCAAAGGGATTGCTAAACCACAAAACAACACTTGGACCTTAAGACTAGAGTTTACTGCC